GGATGTCGTTCGTTGACCATGTTGACCAGGCCGCGCCGAGAGCACCATGGCGGTGGACGACGGCGGGGCCTAGGAAGGGAACGACACGGAGCCGGGGAAGACTCAACAATGGTTGCCCATGCGATGGGGAGTACGAGGGTTTACTGGTCCGGCTGCCGTCGCCGGAAAATAACAGGAGGTGTGGGTGAGTAGAGGAATGGCCTGGCCAGCAATGAAGTAGGGTGGGGCGGTGCGGCCGGTGCGGCAGCACAGCCGGCCACGGGAGACGGGAGCAGGCAGTCCCACCGAAGCTGGTTTGGGCGGCTGGTGAAAGAAGATCAGATATTGAAGAAGCAGCACGGTCGTTGGATTAACATCCAACGGTCACTGCTGCTAGAATCGTTTGTGGACTAAGTTGACAAAGCCAAAGTACACGTCAACCTAGTAGACCCACAAGTCAGCTTCCAAATCTGTCCCAAACAGCTTACATCCCGAAATTTCTAGCCAGATTCAAGTTAATTTTAAATCTAAATATACCTTAATTTAAATTCAATGAAATTTTACCCGCACAAAAAACAATGAAATTTAAAATATCAAAATCCGAAAGAAAACAATATTTTGGAACTAATTGCCTGTTTGCTGTATTTTTTCATTTTATAGCCCATTTATTATTACTTATAGCCCATTTCTTATTACTTATAGCCCATTTTCTGGGCAAAATGCATCCCTCCTCGTCTTGAAAGATTTCCGGCCCAGCAGGGCGTAGAAAAGCAAGTAGGCCTACGTTGGTTATTCTACAAAAAACAAAATAGCTGGCTAGCCATTTTTAGAAAGAAAAAAAACAAACTGGGCTGGTCATGTGCTAAACATATGAAATAAAAGCCTGGGCTAGACGGGCCACGGGTCCCGCACAACCAAGTTGATACCCTTCTCCGTCCCGAAAAAATAAAATTACTGCGCGCGCTGTTGGGTCCCTACTGTCATCCTCACCATGTACATTCATCTCCTTATTCCTCTCGGTTGTTGACCATGTTGACAACAACGGAGGGCGGCGCCGCGGCGAACGAACCAAGGCGGAGGACGATGGTGAGGCCTCGGACGGGAATGAACAGGAGCCGGGGAAGATCACAGCCAGTCGTGGGAGGTGGGAGCAGGCGGTCCCGCCGGCGCTGGATTGGCTTTGGTGGCTCGAGGAAGAAGAGACTGGAGAAACGCGACAGACGTTGAATGTCAATCCAATGGTCAAGGTTGGCACAATCGTTTGTTGACTAAGCGGACACCAAGTAGCATAGTTCCTTTATATATAGGAAGAAAACTGCGAGGAAAATGCGTTCGTCTGCCGCCCTCCTCACAGGGAACATTCGCCACATAAGTGACTAGCACCCTTGGTTTTCAACCGAGAGGTCTTGGGTTCGAGTCCCAGGAACTCTCAATTTTGTCCTCCTTCCTTCCTCGCAAAAAAGGGAAAGAAAATCAAATACTTGTGAAGGCGTACGGAACAAGCTAGTGTACCAGTAAAGAGACGTTGCTGAGTTTTAGAAAAAAGAAAGACGTGCTCCTGTAGCTGGTTCGAATCCAAACCTAGACTATGACCATATATTGTGCTATGCTACTCTGCAAGTAATGAAACTGACATATCCAACGTTCACTTCTCCTCTTCTCCACTTACTCTGCCTAGCATCAGAAGCTCTCGCCGCAGCAACCATGTCCGCAGGCTGCTCGTCCACCTGCTCTTCAGCAGGCAACAACCAGATATGCGCCAAGTCGCCACCCGTACCATCGCCTGTGGGTCTCATCACACCCCCGCCGGCACACGCACCGCAGCCGATTGCTCATCGCAACCCACTGCCGTTGGTGTGGTGCCACTGCTGCAAATCACGCAGAGTCATCCGTCGCATCTCAACCACAATCCGCAACCCTGGCCGAGTCTTCTACAAATGCCCGAATCATGGGGTAATAATATGTTTAAGTGTTGTTCTGCTGCTTTTAGTTGCTGATTTTTTTAATAGTTTGGTTGATGATCTTCCAATTTGATTCATGCAGAAAAGGGAAGATTAGTGTGATTTGTATTTCTGGGAAGTTGTTGATGTGGGGGAATGCAACTATGCTGATTATTTGGTTAGCCGAGGAATCCCAATACCAGCAGGTTGGGGTGTTGGACAAGTAACTGAAGGAACGACAGAAGAGGAAGATGCAGAGCAGAAGGTTAAAGATGCAGTTCCTCTGATCATGGCCAAGCAACAGCTGCTGAATGGCCTTGACAGCGATGAGGAGATGATAGATCTTGTGAAGATAATGGGCAAAATCGATGTGCTCTGTAGGATGATTGTCTCTTTATTTACAGTGTATGTAGCACTCGTGGTGTATTTAGTGGCTACGACATGAGCACTTTGCTGAAACTAGTAATGAATGAAACCTGTGTAGCAGGTTGGGCATAGTGTTGTGAACATCTAATGATTTCTATTAACGGAAATCAGGGGGTATCCCCTTTTGCTCAGATAAATAAATACTAGTACAAATGCCCGTGCGTTGCAACGGGCGAAATTGCTCAAAAAGTGCAATGGGCGAAAAACACTTCAAACCTGTTCGGTGCGCCATTACGCGCCATTTCCTATATTAATTTCTGATAAACATCGGTAATAAGGTTACACTATTATCGTTTTTCGGAGCATGAGTTGTGGACGTGAAGAACCCACCTCAACGTCTTTCATTCGGTTTTATTTTATGCTTTTTGGAAAACCATGAATATTTCTTTGTTTTCTTAAAAAATGAACAAATTTTAATTTGTGTGTTCTTGTTAGAACTGAAACATATTTTGAAGACGAACATTTTGAACAAATGATTTTTTTGGAACACAATTAATATGGATCAGGGGAGTATTAAGATTTTAAATTCTTTGAACAATTTTGAATGTATTTTTAGAAATGGACTATCTTTTGGAAATTTTGAGATTTTTTTAAAGCATGAACATGTTGAAAGTTGTGAATATTTTTTGAAAGCAAGAACAAAGTGAAACACTATTTTTTTAAATGCACTCTCGGTGTCCGTATTAAAAAGGATTTTTGGTGTCCACTTGATCACAAACCATCCCGAAGATGGCAACCAAAGACAATGAGCTCGGCGAGAAAAATGTAAAACTAATTTGTAATTCCATAGAAATGACCCTTGCAGAATCCATACAAAACGCAATCGAGCCAACCATTTTATAATGATATATTTAGAAGAAACTAAATGACGTTGCATGTTGTTTCAGAATCACGTTTATATTCTCTCCCATAGAAGAATTACTTCAGTTCTTTCAAGACAGAACCATACAACAAAATGTTTTAGATGTCAGAATACTCTGAATCAGTTTATACACTCTGAAATATAAATTCAGGCCATATACATCCCGCTTCTGCAGCTAAGCTAGCAAGTATTACACTTCTAGAACCAAACTTGAAAGTGGAATAGCACACAACTAGTAAAGAAGTAACCTCCATTTGAAGGAAATTGCATGCATTTGTGAATCCAAGCATAGTTATCTTGAAGAAATAATTCTGCAAATACAATATGGATCAAAAATTCAGAGATCTCATGAGAGGTGGACTGATGCCCAATATATCGGGAAACAATATGCATGTTTCACCATGTAGCTAGAACTGAAGCAAATTATCTAGAAGGAATAGAAAGAGAAATTAGTTCATGATCAAGGGACCAAATTGGTAAACAATACTATTATATTGAAAATAAACATCAACATCCGTAAATTTCACAATGACACAACTATAGTCTTGTGCCATATTCGGTTACACACCATGAAATGGAAGAGAACCGCACATAGTGGTGAACAGTTGGCTTTGCCTGACCGAGCAGCCAGAAACAAAATTTGCAAATTTTTGCAAATTTCAATTTTTTGAAGTAAACATCGGAGCTTCAAAAACATAGTACAATGAAATGGATAGAAGAAGATTGCCATCTAACTTTAAGGATCTTGTCAACTGCAGCATAAAACCACAGTTGCAATAAGCTAAATTACATAAAATAAAGATAAACGTAACCAAAGTAACATGTTCCTTTCTAATCCCTATTTTTATGTTTAGTCACATCTTGCTACTGGCAAGGAGGGTGGGATATCCAGAACTCAGCTGCACTACTGCTTATAAGACAATTAAGCAGAGACCATATGTGGCTTCGGTCCAGGATTTGGTTTAGTGCCAAAACAACGCTCGGATCCATGAAACAAACAATTCATCTCAGCAAAAGCAACTACAAATATTTTTATTTGGTCATGTAAAGAGAATGGGCAGATAACACCAATCAGTTCAGGATTGATCCAAGGCCACACAGAACTGTCCCGAGATTCACTGCTGCCAGAATGGAGCGGATGCATTTAGTTAAGCATGAATATTTGCCGTGTGATTCCACAGTATGCAGTGTATGTACTTTAGTTAAGTATGGATATATATCTGAACTTGCAGAATATACATTGGTCAGTGCTATTATTTTTTATTCAAATTTTGTGTTCCACCATGATATAGAAATTGCATATAAAATACAGTTCAAAACAGGTGATGTAAATGAAATTACATATATTTATCACCGTTGTATGTTCAGTAAGTGTTCATAAATATATTTTATTTACCATATATTTTTACACAAACACAACATGGCAACATCCGGTTGGTGTCGCCCGGTGGCGAGGAGGCAGCATTTTCGTTAGCACCAATAACTGGAGATGCACACTACGGCGTGGATTGAGCTACAATGGGTGTGGGATCCAGGAGAGAGGATGAATGGGAGCAGTAAGGAGGGAGCGTATGGGAGTGGGGGACCCGTGAGGGGCGATGGAATAGAGGAAGAAAATCCTTTTAATATAACCATTGTTGCTCCTTATATAGGTGCAACTACGACCCATGCACACCTAATGCTAGGTTACAGCAAAATCATGGTATAAGCACAGGGGTTCTTATAGAGCAGACATGTCCAGTTCCTAAAGGTTGCTACTATTTTATCCGTAAGATGTTTAGTGCCATTGGAATTTAGAGCATATCTGTTCTGTGACATAAAGAAAAGCATGATCTTTGATATACTATAGAACAAACATAATCACTATTCAGAGCTTGAAAAACATCATCTTGAAGAATGATTTTTTTCTTCAAGAATTCACCACAAGAATCCTGTAGAAAACACTCCGATCCAACATGAGGTCGGTGGAACTACATACATGACATGGCAAAGAACAGATCACTCACCTAGGATTGCTTTTAAGTAGCCTTGCTCATGAGCAGGATAAGCGGCCTTCAGCGGGATGTAGTCCAATTCGTCACCAAAGAATCTAAAATCGACACAACACAGGTTGTTATTGTGGTGGACGGCAACAACACCCTCCCTAACGTAGATATCACCGCAAGGTGCATTGGTCTGTCCGCTGCCGCCACCCATCGTGGCAACATCAGGATGATGGTGACTCGGGCCTGGTTGCCCCTGGACTGGAAGAGCCTGATGGCGTGCGCCTAGAAAAATATCAAACTACATCTTAAGCAATGTCTACATTCCACCAAAATGGAAAAAGGATGCAAACAGAAATTTAGCATAATTGCAAGGAAATATGTGCTAACGAATTTTATGCAGACTAAGTGCACAATTAGGAAATAAAAAATACAAGCAGTCAAATACATGACCAAATAGCCGTCAAGTTCATTGACAAGACAACTTGTAGAAATGAAGATAACTTTTAGACAGTCTAAGCAGCGTGGACCCCATATATAATACATGAAAGAAGAGCAAGCCCATGTAAGTTCCTGACCCCTGAACCACAGAGGCAAGCTATTGTTGTAGCAAGACAAAATGGAGCTGCAAAGCAAGTTAAATTACAACTCCACATCCAAACTTAGCATGGCACTACATCTTTCTTGTTTAGAAGTAATTGAAAGATATCCAAACATTGGCTAACATACTTTCAGAAAAGCGCAATCCCGATCATACTCACAAATAGAAGTTTTAGTTTCCAACTAGCAGTGATTTCCCCCTACCACAAGCCTCTGCCTACAGCTTTAAACTGAACCAACATGTTATCATGTCATTTATTTACAAAGTAATGCTTAGAAGACTAATTTCCCGAGGGCAAGAGTCCAATATACTTTCAGAATGTGCAGTTTAGATTATCTTTTCTAGTACCAATTCTGAACATAGCATGACAGTTTAGCTCTTGCTATTTAAGCTCATAGTATTTAAACCGAGAATTGCTTGCATGTCATGAATTTTTTTGTAGTCGTAATCCCAGTAGTATTTACTTGCGCATTTAGGAATATCATAGTTAAAGCTAAAGAGGAATTGTCCTAGCATAATTTACATTTCAGAAGCTTATAGTAGTAATGTAAATATAGATGGTTGAGAAGGAAGGAAGGAGTAGATGCTGCTGCTCCAGACCGAATCAAATCAAGGTGGTGCATTGTAGACCCTGCAATCTATCCATCCATTCAATCCATATACAATCAAGTATTTGCATAGAAGGTGCAAACAGTCCATGGTAGACACTGCAGCAAAGAATAGATAGAGCTTCACCTGCAGAGCAGAGAATCGAATGGAATCCAACAGTGAGGTGAAGAAAAGAAGAAATACCTGCAGATGGTGGAGGCCTCAAGGATGACGACCTGAAGATGGTGAGGGAACCCCATCACCATCAGGAAGAAGAATGCTTGAGCTACTGGTCCATGGCGATGTTGGGTGTGTGCCTGCGTTAGGGAGAGAATATCATCAAGGAAGGGGAGGAAAGAAGAGCAGAACCCTGGCATCAGCACTCCCCTCTCCTCACGGGATTCAAGTGGTCACCGAGGGAGAAGGGAAGGGGCAGAGGCGTTTCTAAGTCATACCGCCGTCGTCGAGGTAGCCACCACCGTTATTATCGCCGTCGGTCACCATGGCCCAGTGGCTAGGTTATCTAGCGCGAGGAATGAGGGAGGGAGGGTGGATCTGACCGCTGCCTGAGCTACCGCGGCCACAGAGAGAAGAGGAGGGGTTGCCGCGGCCATGGAGGCCCGCCTCCAACTAAAAGGACTTCGCGCTGCCATGCCGGATCCCTCCGTCTCCCGCGCTCGTCTGCCATCACCCGGCTCCGGCGAGCATGCCTGGGTCACCGCACCGCCCTCTTTTCTCCCATCTTCTCTTCCTCACCACCCTGTCTCTTTTCTGCCATGGATCCGCCCGGGAAGGCGCGGTCCGGCCTTCCTCGTCGTCACCGGTGACCCTTGCCTCGCCGCCCGCCATCGGATCCGCCTCCCCAGCCCCTGCCATGCACAGATCCGCCCCTGCAAGCTCCAGCCACCTCGCCCCCAGCCGCTCGAGCCACCGCGTTGACGTAAAAAAGACCGCGGGTTGAATATACCAAACTACATGGTCCTTTTTGTAAAGTGAAAGGTTTTCCCAAATTAGCCACTTAAAACGGGACTGCGGGTTGAATAAGCAAAACTACAGGGACTTTTTTGTAAAACTGATGGCGACGTACAACCAGAAGCAATAGCTGGTTTATTAGTAGGTAAAGAAATAGCAGAGGCCCTGTCGGGTCAGCTTTGTTCTCATTCGAAGACGTCGAGCAAACTGCAGTCTGACAGCAAACTATGTCATCAAATTCAAGTTTCACAGCCAAATATGAGTACAACTAAACAACAATGTCATCATGTTTTAGTTGTCATACAATCACCAAACACAAATCAGCATACATAACAAGTGATGTTCTCACAGAAAAATACTAAACAACATGTTCATCAGGTTTCAGTTGTCATTGCAAACACAATTTCACATAGTAGATAAAAAACGTCTTATGACAGGCAAATACGACAAAAGCAATGTAATCATCATTCGAAGTAGCAGCGTCAACATCTTCGCCATGTGTATCAGTCTGAATCATAATTCCCCATGGTGTCATCTTCTTCTTCGTCCTCAACGTCCTCGAACGTTGGCTTCTTCTTGATCAACTCTTGTATGTCGACAGCATGACATGCAATCTTTTCGCCGGCGTCATTGACGTGATGGTTCTCAAAAATATTAGGAACATCTGTGTTATCTTGTACATCAGGAGCAGTGTAAGCATCATCTTGTTGTGCAACTTCATTAAACGAGTTCCTCTGCTCAAACCTTTGCAATACTCTCCAGTCATCGCTACGTGCAAATGTGTCTTCCAAGAAAAATATTTGTGTTGCTTGATTTGCCAAAATAAAAGGCTCGTTGGTCTGGTACGCCGCCTTGACATTGATGGATTTGAAATAATCATCAGCTCTGGGTTTTGCGATCTTGGAAAATAGGTTATACCAACGACAGCACAACAGAACCACACACCGATGCTCCCCGAAACTGGAGATATACTGCAACAGAACAATGTCTGTTATGTTAGCATACATTTCAGTTGTCTCTTTGTCATACGTATCCGTGCTCATGATGGCACTGTTTTGTGTCTTCCTGCCTTCGTCTCGTGCAAGGGTCTTGTAGCGCACATCTCCAACAACGCAAGATCCATAATGTCTTACCCGAGTATTAGGACCCATTGCTAGTGAGTAAAGGGCATCATCAACTGCCTACCCATCCTCCCGCATCTTCTTAACCTATGGTTAGAAAATAGACAAGCTGATCATCTTATGTACTCAATATATTAAAAAAACTGACAGTGCACTTCAAAAGCTTACATGGTTCTAGAACCATGTCGCAAATCCTGCCATAACCAGTTTGTCAATGTTTCTTGGATTTTGCGGCAGTAACTCCTCTTTGTAGATGCTGCACAACATAGTGATCGCGTCAAACATCTAAATATATAAGAATGTGCTGCAAGTTTAGTAGATTACGATGTATAAGCTGCAGTGCCGCACTTACTTGATATAAGGTAGTATCTCAGGACAGTTATTCAACACATACCAAACCATTTTGTCCAAATCTTTAGGTTTGTCCTCTTGTCGACTCTTCCTTGTAACTCGAATGGAATAATCGAAAACATTGAGCCCGGGATTGTCTTCACCCACCTCTTTGCTAAGCTAATCAGCTGTTTTAATGTATTTTGAGCAGAATGTCAACGCTTCTGTAACAATGTAGGCCTCTGCAATGGAACCCTCGGGTCTAGCTCTGTTCCTAACATAGCCCTTGAAAGTGCCTAGCCGCCTTTCAATAGGGTACATCCAGCCATACTGTACTGGACCTCTAAGTAGTGCCTCATCAGGTAGATGAACAACCAAATGCACCATCGCGTCAAAGAAGGCTGGAGGATATATCTTCTCAAGGTCGCATAGGATAGTTGGTATCTTGTCTCTAAGACGCTCCAAAGCATCTATCCTAATATTCCTACTACAGAGTTCCTTGAAGAATTGTCCCAACTCTGCAACTGCTCTATATAAGTCAGGGCGGCCCAATCCTCTAAGGATAACAGGTAAAACCCTTTGAAGTAGGACGTGGCAGTCATGAGTTTTCAACCTTGTACCTGGTTTCCATCTGCACCGACTCTCCTTTCAGGGTTGGAAGCAAATCCATGTGGGAATCTCACACGTGACAGGACCTCGCAGAATTCTTTTCTTTTTACCTTGTCCAAGACGTACACAGTTGGTGCCATATCCCGTGGTTTACCTTCGTCTTGCACCTGCAAATCCTTTCTGATACCCAGGTGTGTCAAATCAATCCTAGATTTTAAGGTATCTTTTGTCTTGCCTTCAATATTAAGAAGTGTGCCGATAGTGTTGTCACATATATTTTTCTCGATGTGCATCACATCAAGATTATGCCGCAGATCCAAATCTTTCCAATACTCCAAGTCCCACAAAGTGGACCTGTGGGTAAACAATAATCTCTCTTCTACCCTGCCACGCTTCCTTTTCCCGCTACCATTACCAGGATGGTTTCCTGGTGTAATATGCCTAACCTTCTCTAATTCCACTTACAACTCGTCGGCGGTGAGCCTTTTTGGCGCATCACGGTTTTCATGCTTTGCATTGAACACATGTCTTCGGTATTTTCTAGGATGCGGCTTGTCCTTGGCAAGGAAACGGCGGTGTCCAATGTAACAGATCTTTCTAAGTATTGTGTATGACGGCGGATTCCTATCACAGCGAACACATGCATTGTAACCATGTGTCGTTCGCCCTGACATAGTGCCCAAAGCCGGATAATCATGGATGGACCAAATTATAACAGCACACAGAAACAAATCAGCTGGTGGGCTGCTATATAGGTCTCGAGTGAGAACACCCTTCCATAGCTGTTGAAGTTCCTCCACAAGAGGCTCCATGAACAAATCAAAATCCTTTCCAGGACTTTTTGGACCTGGGATGAGCAAGGCCATCATCTAGTTTGATTCTTTGGTGCAGACATTTGGAGGCATGTTGTAAGGGATAACAAGCACTGGCCACATGCTATATGTGGCGCTCTCGTGGCCAAATGGGTTAAATCCATCTGAAGCTAAGCTAAGTCTAATATTTCTCGGGTCAGCAGCAAACTCTTTGTGTTTATCATTGAAGCTTTTCCACTCACTACCATGAGATGGATGGCTCATTACATTCTGATCTCTGTACTCCTGGTTCCTAGAATGCCACAGTACATCCTCTCTTGTTTCAGCATCATGAAACAACCTCTGCAATCTTGGTGTAATTGGAAAATGTCTCAGAACATTATGAGGAATCCTCTTCACAGCATCGCCATCTTTCCATCTTGATGATTTGCATTTCGGGCATTCACTTAAGTTGGCATAATCCTTCCGGAACAAAACACAATTATTCTTACAAACATGGATCATATCATATCCAATTCCAACTGCACGAAGGAAATTCTTCATTTTACTGTAGGTGTGTGGCAGCTCAGACGCATCTGGGAAAGATTTGCAGAAAGCAGCCAACATCACATCCGAATGATTTGTTGGTCATCCGCTCAGATGTCTTCACCCGAAGAAAGGTGACCATAGCGGAGAATACTGATAGCTTATTTCCTGGGGTGACAGCAACGTTGCATTGTTCCAACATGCGGGCCCATCGTTTTTCTTCTGCAGGTGAAAGTTCACGGAATGCACGAGCATTTTGTAGCATTGTTTCAATGTTGGTCAAACTCACTGGCTCCGCCACCACCACCTCCTCCTCTTCCACCTGAGCATCAGGCAGATCAAGATGGTGATCTGCTGCTTCCACATAGTCAATAACATTGACGTTCAAAGCTTCACCATGATGAACCCACCTAGTATATGTGACCGACATCCCATACAAGTGTAGATGATTTTGCATAGTTGACTGGGGTCTTGTAACTGAATTCATACAACTCTACACGGGCAGAGCACATCTGATTTCGGACACCGTACTCAGCTCTGATAAAGTTCATGAAGTTTTCAACCCCCTCGACATATGCAGCGGAGAATCTTCGAGCAGAAGTTATCCAAGTCCTGTCCATCTGTTAGACATACAAATTAGTTCTTCTACTAGATATTACAAGAAAAACATATATGCTTTTTTATGAAGTCTAAAAAAAAATACCTAGGTCGATGTCTAAAGCTATGGCAAGATATTTGGACGAGCAGATCTAAGTAACGAAATATATGTAAAGCTAATTCAGCAAAGAGATTTGAGTGCCAAATTATGGCAGGCTATTTCAGCAGTCAATGAGGCCAAGCACACAGCCATCGAACTATAGAAGGCCATCGCAGCAACAAAGATCGAGTATAAAACAGTGTAGAGCTATTTCACCTAACAGATTGGCTACTAGACCATGGCAATCTACGTCACAATAAATATATGGCAGGATATTTTAGCAACTAGTTGGCCTTGGCATGCCATCTCAGCTAAGCATATTGAGTGCAGAACATGGCAAGGAAGCTTCTTAAGCAGAGCATATTGACAGTAAACTACTTCGGCAAACAGTGACATTAACAGCGTCTATCAGCTAACATTGAACACTACACCGACATGAACGGGGCCTCAACCTAGAATGTGCGTATCGTGGGAGAAGCTGACCGACGTGTGTCTCCACACGAACGTCACCAACGGGGGCGGTGCTGACCGCAGTGCGCCTCCACAAG